CCAGCACCAGTGCACTGAATCCAATTAAAACTTCGCAGTTAAGTAAGCTTGGGCTATAGTAGTACTAGATGGGTGACCTTCTGAGAAGTCCTCATATTGCGCCCCTTCTTGAATGATGACATACATGGGAATATTATTAGTAGAATTCATGTTGATTGGTTGAAGTAGATGAATGCATAAAGCCTACTGTGCGATAGGAAAGTATCGCTTAAACTCGAGAATTGCAATGCTTTATGGCGCATAATGTTGGCCATTAAAAGAGAACCATAAAACAAAATTAAGTGTTGTTGAGATGAGATGGCTTAGATGGATGAGTAGCTTAACAATTAGAGAAAATGCGAAACGAATGAATCCGTGAAATGGTTGGTGTAGCTCCAATGCTAGACAAGATTCAAGGGTCGTTTTAGATGGTTTGGTCAAATTAAATGTCGACCATATAATGATCAAATTAGGAGAGTAGATATTTTAGATACGACTTATTTTAAGAAAAGTAGAGGTAGACCTAAAAAAACTTGGGCATATTCTATTAAAAAAGATCTTAATTTATTAGAATTAAAAGAAACCATGACTCTCAATAAGTTTAATGGAGAAGAAGGATTCATGAAGTCGAACCCACTTAGTGGAATAAAGGCTTGTTGTTGTTGTTGTGCATGTTCTTTTTTATGTTCTTTTTTTACAACAGCAAATAAATTGGATCTTTATAAGGTGTAACTTTCTCACTTGTAATAGAAACTATTCTTTATAAGTCTAAAGTAGACATAAGCACTCGACTTTAGAAAATTGTGCCATAATTAGGGTATTACTAGTGGTGTTCTCCTCCTTTTCCAGGTGAGAGTAACCTAGCTTGAAAACTCTCATATTTCCATCTCCTTAGTCTAGCATGCCAAATATATTATCCACTTCGATGGAAGCCATTATTAATATCTTCGAGAATAGAAAAAGGCATGTGCAAGATGCCAAAAAAAATCTGATTAGTGGGAAGCATGGATTGCGAGCGAGGATACAAATCAAGTCCAAGCAAAGCTGCCAAGAATGAAGGTCATGCAAGATTGGAGCACATAGCGAACAAGAAGGAGCTATTCAAAGCAGAGACTAGAATGCATAGATAAGTAATATTTCATGTTATTTGACTTCCAATTTATGGTATGATACATAAGAAAGTTTGGCTTCCACAATGAAAGAGGATATATAATCTATTTTGGCATCCACCCAAGAGTTAACATTTCATCAATTGATCCACCCTAAGAGGTGACATTTTCTTAGCTTTCCAACTTCCACTCTAAACGGTGATATATAATCAATTCAGCTTCCACCCCAAGCAGCTCCACGACATTAGTTTTGGTTTCTCAATCAAATTACTTCAGCTTCAACTAAAGTTTCAACTTCAACTTCCATACTATAAAGTGATTCTATAATAATAAACTAAATAATTTAGGGCTTCTTTGGGGTCAATGTTATTTTTTTTTTTTTCATTTTAGTTTTTTCTTTTGTTTTTAAAAGCATATTTAATTAGTGTGTTTTACACTTGTTTTTATTTATATTTCTAAAAATGAATTAATATTTTTTTAAAACAATCAAAATAACTTTTCAGGGTTTTGAGTGTTTTTAAAATAATTGAAATCTGATCGAATAGTCAAATATGTTTTGTTTAAAATTAAAACAAAAACAAGATGAAATAAAAGCAAAAAATAGAAAATAAAAAAAAGTGATGCCAAATAGCCCCTTAGCTTTTTATCGTGTGTGAAAGATTTAGGAGTCATTTAGATTACTTTTGATTTTTTTTATGTATTTTGATTTAAAACAAAAGATGTCTGGTGTAATATAATATGTTTAGTTATTTTTAAAAACAAGCTAATTTATTTTTAAAAACAAAAAATAAAAACATAAAAAACTGTATTAATCAAACAGAATTTTCAAATAAAAGCAAAAATTAAAATTAAAATTAATAAATAAAAAAAAGTGATCCCCAACAAGCCCTTAGGGTCCATTTGGGGTGGCTGCAACTTTTTGTAAATGTAGTTGTAAGGTTGTGGTAGAGAAAATAGTTTTTTAAGAATCAGTGGTGAGAATTATAAATATATATTTTTCTCCAAAAAAAACCAGATAAAAACTTTCTTGCAGCCACCACACTAATAAATTTTGTTGCAAACAAATAGCTTCCCGCCACAAAACAAAATATTAAAAATGTTAGAAAAAACAGTTCCCCAAATAGTGCATGTGGTGATTGGCAGTTAGAAACACAGAGCACGTAAAAGGTTGTAGCAAATAGACTCTTAGACCATGCATGTTACTAAATTTGCCAATCTAACTAAAAGGTAATAAATAGATTTGCCACTTAACAACATTGTTCACCATATGGTAGGGCTATCAAATGCATTTTTTGTGGAGTTTTCTAAATATTAACACCATGCATGAAACTACATTTACCAGCGAACACCAAATTCTCCCATCTTAATTTTCAAAATCATTTTTAGGTCATTTGAAAGTATGGCAAATGCACATTGGCAATCTCAATCTCATGTGTGCACCATATCCACTACTTTATGAGGGACAAGGAAAACACTGATAAAATGAAGTGTTTTTTTTTTCTTGAATAAAACAAGCAAATAATACAAGAATTTCTTATTAAGTTCAATTCTTAAAATAAAATTCTCAATCATATTTTGATTTGTATTATATGACCTTGAGAAAGAATACCCGTAATGATTTTAAAGAAAAAAATAGAGCTAGTAATAGACTACGGTTGCCAGCATTAGAGCTACTCTTATTTTCCATGATTGGGTGGTTCATCAAAATTGGTTCAATTGGATCATAATGAAGCTCTCTCACTCTTTATTCCTTATTATATTATAAGATGTGGTATTATTCACTAAATGGGTGTTGTCATGGATTTCATGCATTAGAAATGAGGAGTTGGGGCATATAGATAAGAGAGGAAGGAGATCTATAGAGTTAGATTTATTATTTAAATTTCAAATGAATGAGTAATGGGTTTGATTGAAGTTTGAATTAAGGATTGATGAAGTTCTAATTGGGAGGTGATTGATTTAAATTAAAAAGGGGAGTTTGTCAAGGTTTTCAAATGATTTATTAAATTTGTATGGATACAGTTTTCATTTCAATTTTAAAGATCAAATGTTTTAGATAATGAATTCATATTATAAGGATGATTGTTGGAGGGGTTTCGAGAGGGCATGCATGCGACTGACTAGAAATCAGAGGAGAGAATGTGTATGGCAAGTATTGTTGAGCGTTTGAATGAGATCAGGAAAGGAGAAACTAAGGAAAACAAAGGCATCAAAAGAATGCTTCATGCTATAATGTTTCTAAAATTTGAAAAAAAAATAGCATAATGAATTCCAATATCATACAATCGTTCATGAAGATGTAGAGATGATTAATCCCTAGCTATAACAAAATGATTGAGGCGTTTAGTGATCATAATACATCAGAAAGAAGATAAGACCCATAACTTATGGATGATGCCATATAATAAGCGTTATTGGTTTTATTTGTAAGAAAAAAGAAAAAGAGTAAGAATAATATTCTTTATGGAAATTTACATACATAGCACCCAATTCTTATGCATTTACTTATCTCACTCCAAACTTTCATTTTTAGAAGTTATTCATCTTTTTGTATGTTTGAAAAAATGTATAAAAAGGTGGATTACACTTTTTCCTGTAGGTAGGGTCCAAAACTTGTAAATATCAAAATTTGGGTGAGATGAGTAAATACATAAGAATTGGGTGCTATGTACATAAAAACCCCTATTTTTATATAATAGTTAATTAAATTAATTTAAATGAATTAAATAAATTAATTAATGAAAATAATTAAATCAAAAAATAATAATTAAATTAAATTAAATATAAATTAAACCATATTTAATAAAAATAAGATGATGCAATGACAATCATTAATATTAAAATAAATAAATAAATAAAACCTAACGACACCTGTTAAACAGATACTGTAAATCGCTTTGCATGCCACTAGCAACGAAAAAAATGAAGGTTCCATGCCATTTGTCGAACAAGAAAGAGAGAGCGAGACAGAGAGGGCAAGTGAGAGGGCAAGCAAGGGTGTCCAATGTTTAAAGTAAGGTTTAATCATTTAAATGTTAATCAACATCCTGATTAATAGAATCAATAAATATATTCAAAATCCAGCCTTTGCCAATAATAATGCTTAGTGGAACTAATCCAAATCTCGTTCTCCAAAAGATAGTAACACTACCACTGATGGCCTGCACAGCTTAGCTATCGCAGCATCCACCTGAAGCAATTTTCAAAAAATTGATTCAAGATAAAACAAGATGGATTGGTTCAAGTAATAAATTATAAATCTTAAGCCAAGAAAAAATAATCCAAACTGGAGTAATATTTGGTTCATAGGTACAAGCCTAGGGCGAAAGACCACTTAGGCATACTCATCTAAAACCCATACATGTAGTGTGATCCTTCGGACCTCAAATCATATTCGTGATATACCTAGTTCCAACGCTAAATAAAAATCATTATCTCATAAATAATTTATGTTAATTGGTAAACAAAATTTGTCCATTTAATCACAATCCCAAAACATTCAAAATATGCAAAGCATTCCGAATAATGCAAGCTCCATAAATAATCCATGTAATTATGATGATGAAGATGATGGATCAATAACAAAAAGATCATGATTTCATAAACTATTGTTAAATTAGTCTAAAGAACAAGAATGAAACTCTATTATGATTAGAAGATTCTACATCATTGAAATGGACACTCTATGCAAGTCGAAGGTTCCATTCATCAGCCACTCCTCAAATATTATGATAGACTAGCACACAAAAACAAAAAAAAATGCTCCTGCAGAATTGCATGTACATGTCAGCAGACCAAGAACTGCCACTTAATGATATGAGAAATGAGGAACCATACTACTGTTGTAATTGAACAACTATTGCGAGACTAATATATAAATGGCAATGTAATGAATGAAACTGGCATACAAACCTTCTCAACTGTCTTTCCGTAGAGTAAACAAAGTTTCAGCCCATTTCCATGCCTCAACTCCACCAACTTGTTCCTTGTATATGTAGCAAGAGAAGCTGTGTGCCTGCAAGAATTCTAGCACATATTAATGATTTACAAATCAAGTTATTTCTCTAACTTAAATAATGTTGAACTTAAGCTTTTGTTAGTAGGTTAAAACCAGATTAACAGACATCAAGAAGCTAAGTTTGGATAAGATTACAGTTTCATGGACGTAGTTGACGTGGGAGCTGGCCGTTCAAAATTCTCGTAGTACTGTAGCTGCTATAGTACCGCGGGAATAGCTATAGCGGAAGAGTCGCCCAAATAACCCCATTTTCCTTCCTTATTCCTTGCTATTATTCTTTATTCTTTATTAGTTATTTCCTATATATGTGTTGTATTAGGCTTTGGAAGGGAGTTTTTTGGTGCGCTTTTTTTAGGATAGCCATCAGCGTCCATTTTATCCCTTCGAGAGTTGTATCCCAGGGTTCAAAATGCTGCTTTGGTTGTATCTTCATATCCAGGTGGTGATTATCTTCCATAGCCCTTCCCGCATCCCTCTCGCTTCGCTACCATGCCTTCCTCCTCGCTGCAGCCACCCCAACAACCGTCTCATTGCTATCTTCCTGCAGTTCCTCACCGTCCAGCCATCATTCTCATAGCCAAAGCCACACGACAGGTCCTCCTATGGTTGTCCCACAGTCCCACGCCTTCACTGCCGCTGTCACCGCCTGTAAAAAGCCGTTCGGGCTATTTTCTGCTGTTACAGTAACTTGGCCAGCTGTTTCCCACATTGCAGCTCGTTGTGAATGCCGCAACGCCTCCAAGTTGTTGTTTTCCTGCTGTCCAGCTGCCCCAAACAGCCAACTGCTGCTGCTTGGGCTGCCGCCCCTTGTTCCCCTGTTCCAGCTACCCATAATCGTTGTTGCTCCTCAACCACAGCCGGGAAACCCCCTCCCTACCTTGCCACTACGTCCCAGGCACTCTAACCATTACCACCATCACCCTGGATCCGCTATAATGTGAGTTTGTGTGACGTGTGTGTTATATTTTCCCTTTCAAGTGTGTTTGTTTATAACCGTCTATTTGCTTCCTGAAATAATATTTTTTTTCCTAATGTGATTTGGGTTAACTCAGGTATCAGTAGTTGTATTTCTTAATGTAAATTTCATAAATACCTCTTAGTCCAAAAACGTTGTCAGGTATAAAATAAGTTGCAAAACAGTGCAAACGTGAACTTATCTTTAACAGAAGAAATGATGAACGAAGTATGATTCAAGGAAAATAATCTTCAAAAACTGATCAACAGAAAACAAGAAGCTAAGTCATGATGAGAGTAAAACTAGATGCACAATTGGTACCAGTTAATGATACCAGTTAATGATAAGTTTCTTAAATACATGTTTTTCAGATGTTCATAGAGAGTAACACAAAAATACCTGGATATAGACGGCATAGTTAGTCTATTGATTATATGGAAACCATGACGAATAGCCGCAATATCCAAGAAAGAAACAGTTCCATCTTCAAAGAACTGCTCGATGCTTTCCCTTCTCTTTACAAAGTCAATGTCAGCAATAGAGGCAGATACAGTACCTGGAAAGGATGAGCAAAGTCTAAAGTCATATACCAAACACAACCATTAGTCAGCTGAAGTTAGAAACTAACCTCCACTGAAATATTTCTTGTTTAGAAGCCCGGCCGCCTCTGCAAAGCACACAAGCTTAATCAGCTTAAGCGCCATGATTTAGATGAAATTGGTGTTAATATGAAAAGAATTTAACTACAGTGGATAAATGATAGACTACAACTAAAAAATCAAAATGAAAAGAACCGGTAAAGTTGGAAGAGAAACATATTTAACAGAGAAAATGACCAGGAGAAATAACACTTAATACTTGTCTAAGGGGTAAAACTTTAATGCATATGTTCATCAAAGTGAAAAGCAATAATGATGATGCCTGAATCCCAACAACATGACCTAGAATATGTAGTGAAAAAAGAGAGACAAAATTCAAATAACCATTTAAAAGGTCCCATACCATTTTGAACAATGAGAGCTCCTAGACCAGTTGGAAAACCAAACATCTAAAACGTAAAAGTAGTCAGCAAAAGTCAAAGTATGGTCAAAATTTTGGATTGTATAGCATAGAAAGTATGTACCTTGTAAAAAGAACAGGCAACAAAGTCAGCAGGATACCTAGCTAGATCTGGTGGTTCCGTGGCACAACCTTTAGCAGCATCGATCAATACTAACCAGGAACCCCTAAATGCCAAATTGAAACAAGAATGACGAACAGTTTCCCGTTAAGTACAGTATGGAGACTAACTAAAGACTTGTGAACATAACCATTAGAGTTAAATCATAATGAAAATAATCAACTCTTCTTCAAAAGATTTGGAAAGCATCAACTAGTAGATATATTGGCAGATCAACTAACCATTCTATTCATAAACTTAAATCTATTTCTGCTCATTTAATTAATTTTGCTAAAATGAAAACAGGATGCTCATTACTTTAAGTCATACTGGCGCGGCACTGAAAAGCTAGCCATTAAGCTGAAAAGAGTGCTTCCCTAAGGTGGGAAAATGTGCAGAAGCAAAGGAACAGAGAAGGCAGTAAGAAGGTCACTAAGTGGGAGAAGATGAAGAAGACTACAAAAAATGTACCTTCTACTCCACTATCATCCTACTATGTTTTTGAAACTCCACAACTTGCAGCGGAGGGATCTTTCAGTGGAGGAATTTACAGCCCAATTCGATCACTTACACTTGAAGTGCAAACTGATAGAGCCGCAAAAGCATACAGTAGCCCGATAAATTGAGGGGATTGAAACCTGTCATTAGCAATGCGATGCAACTGCAACTGTACTGGATGCTATTGAAGATGGAAAGACAGCAGATGCAGAGCAAGCAACAATCATCCTTCAGGCAGCAACCTTCAAGCAGGCAGTCACCTATAATTACCAAAACCAACAGGAGTACCCCAGGTGACACAGGAAATCCCAAACAGGGGAATGACACTTCAGATCAAAGCAGGAAGAAGCAGAAGGGTATCTCCTCCAATATAGTACTTGTCAGAAAGTGTTACCAATGTCACGGCCACAACCACGAAGCCTCCGGATATCCCACGAGCGGAGTAGTCACACTTACAGATCAGGGCGTCGTAGAAGAGATGAGCGACAAGGAAAACGCTGAGGAACAAAGTGAGGTGTATAAACTACCACCAGACAAAAGAGAGGCGCTCGTGATTCGACGAATCTAGCAAAATGAAAACACAAGTGATCTACAGTGGCTTCATCACAACATATTCTACACCCGCTGCATAGTGAATGGAAAACTGTGCAGTCTAATCATCGAAGGCGGAAGCAACAAGAACGTGACATCAACACAGACGATAGAAAGATTGGGACTTGCGACTCAGAGGCATTCCCTACCATAATCACTGGGATGTCTGAAGAAGGAGAATTGGGTCAGCATCGACCAAAGGTGCTTGGTAGATTTTTTGATCGGAGGCCAGCTATGGGACCAGGTGTGGTGTGACGTGATTCTCATGGATGACTGCCATCTTTTATTGGGACGATCGAGACAATTTGACCAGAGAAATCAGCACGACATATATAAAAACATGTATTCTTTCACCAAGGACGGGAAGCGCATCACCCACCTTCCTTCGTCGGAGCCCGGGGTCACAAGATCCCTTTTCAGCAGAGTTGCATTAATGGAACCAGATTTAGTGGCGACACAAAATGAGTGAATTAAGATACCGTCTCCTAACACGGGACAAATATGACAAAGAAGATTTCCGAGTTTCATAATCAATACTGTATTGCCAGCTCCACCTCAAGGAGGGAAGGTTCAGGTTGCTCTCACAGGACAGCTTTAGGGGAACTTCTCATGAAGGATAAGCGCTCACAAACGAGGCAGGCTTCCCCATGGCGTTGAGGAACAGTGCAGTCAACAGTGAGATCCAAGTGTCATCCGGATTCAAGAAAAGAACCAAAAGCTTCAACAAATGAGGTCGAAGCTCCCCCAACCCCGAGGGACTGACGCAGCACTGAAAAACGTCCCTGACGCGAGCGCTGAAAATGCCCTGGAAACAGGGCACTCAAAACCCGCGGGACTTAGAAGTCATTTATTCTGAGATTGATATATTTAATTTGGCAGCACCTTTTTTATTCGCTTTAGTTAAAAAATTTTCTTATACATATCCCACCTTGGAGATTAGTCACATATTCATGGTTGATTTATATTCAAACAGTGATTTCTCAATTGAGCTTCTTGATTGCCACCATTTGCTTTTCAAACAATTTTTTAGAAGCAAACTATTCTAGGATTTTTTTCTTGAAGATCAAAGAATATGAATGGTCTTTCAAGTGGAAGCTTAAGTGATCTCCAGATATTGATACTTCTATGGAGCCACTTCTTACCCTAATATATGGAGCCTCCTAATACCCCAATATGGGTAACCCTCATCTTCATGTTCACTTCATCAATTAATCTACATTCTGCTCTTTTCATTTGGCCCACCAATATAACAGCCCACCAATATAACAGCTAACTGTCAGACTTTCTAGATTGTTTGTGCCCAAGAGTTCACACCTTCAATAAAGAGATGAATTGGCATACCAACATTTGGTTAATGACAAATGATAAAAGTCGTGGCCTGGCTGTCTGAGGATCAAACTTACAAAATCTTGGATCATGAATATGTTGATTGTTTCAAGTCGCGTCAAAAACTAAAAAAAAACATACGCTAAGGGATCTTATATCTTAGGGTCTGTTTGGCGCAGCTGTTGATTATTTATAATTTGCTGATAAGCAGATTATTCTTATAATTTGACAATCTACAGATTATCAGAATAATCTGTCTTGCTGTTTGGGACAGCTTATTCAGAATAGCTTATTGGTGGTTAAATGGTTAAATGACATTCCTGCCCGCCCTTGTCTGATAAAACTGTTTGGAGCAGCTTATTCAGAATAGCTTATTGGCAGAATAGAAGCATATAATACAGAAGCATACGATCATTACAGATTTGTTCTAAAAGATGACATACAGTTCTCCACCCTCATGAGTACCAAGAGAACTAAAAAAAATATAAATACAAGTACAACAACAATGAGAAATATTAAAATATTTAATTTCAGACTCTGACTACACATGTCCTCATCTGCACTGTCAACCTGAGAAAACACCGGATTCTCATGACTGCTGGCAGTGTAATATGTGGGGCTATCAGCCCACCGGAAGAAACCGCAATGAGCTGAAACACCATTGGCACAACCGTAAAATTGTCTCCCAAAGCTATGAGACTGACGTGATGTGAGCATTGGAGACAGTACTCCATAATAACACAAAATACATTTTCTGTAACTGATATCCTAGAAATCATGTTGGTATAACTGTGAAAAAAACAAAAGAATCAAATGTCAGCTCAAGATCTTTTAAAAAAAACCAAAATTAAATGCATATGATTTTTTTTTTTGAAAAAATCCAAGGGTTGATATATTAAAGATAAAGATACATATAAGTTTGAATGGGTGGGTCTAAACACCCAACCCACACGATACAACACACACCAAAAAATGTAAAAGATGAGTACATATAGAAATAAAAATAAACCCAAAAACCACTCGGGCGCGGAAAAAGTGTGGGTCATCCCAATCTAGTCTTGTCTCTGGCTTTAGTTCTCGGTAGTAATCCAGGTAGCAGATTGGTAAGGTGCTGACCATTGCCCGTAGTAACCAAAGTATCATCCATAAAACTCCTGAGCTCTAATACCTGAGGATGATATAGACTCTAATGAATTTGGAGATCATGAAGGTGAAGGGTTGGTTGATATGATTATTTTAAGGGAGTCTATCACAGATGTTATTTGTGGTTGCTGACTACCAAGCTTTTCTTTAATAAGATTATAGGTTTATTTCTGAAAATGAGTTGAAAATATTTCTGAACCTTATTGGATGGCCAGAAAGCAATTCAACAACCCATTTATCTCCAACAAAGGTGGATGTCATGCGGGGAATGCGAGCAGTGCTATGCCGGTAATAATCCAACAACAATATCCGGTAATAATCCAACACCAACAACAATATTATAATGGCTGTAGCAAATGTCATTCTTCTACAACGATCGCGTCGCGTATCCATCTTAAATGATTTTAAATGTAAACAATATTTGTTACTTCAGGCTCTAAAAAGAGTACATGATTACAACATATAATATAATTTCAAATATAAATTAAACTTCAAATATCAATTGTTAACGTTCAGAACATATAATACGCAACAGGTACATTTAAAAATGAAAGACTATATATGTAGAAGGTCCAGACATTTTAAATAAAAAATTACATGATTATAAGTTCCAAACATTTAAGAAAACATGACATAAGTAGAAGTTCATATTACTGCAACAAATACATATACAATCCATAAAAAAAATCATTCGACCAAAACTCGCAAATATTCGAGACGCAATTCAGGCTCTAGCGTCATGAATATTTTCATGAATTTTTTCATTCACGTTGAATCCTTAAGTTTTTTCACACGCTGTGCGTGAAATCGTTTGTCGGTCGCAACTTTTGGAATAGTACCCAAAAGCCTGAGACAGTCTAAAATGTTACCATCAGAGATTGGTGGAGCTGAAAAAGCTTCAATTAAACGATCGAAGGAGGTGTTTACAAAATGTTCCTTCTCTTTATTTTTCGTAGCAATCTCAATCCTGGGTCTCTTTAAAATTGTACTGAACTCCCCCATATCCCTCTGGTTAATGCTAAGCACTTCTTCAACGAGTGTCAATGGCTCAGGTGTGAATTTATCTGGTATCCCTGTAAAACCGAATTCACGAGGGTTGAATGCAAACTTTTCTGTTGCGACAACCCATTTAAACATGACGCCCAGTTTTTCTTCAAATTTTGGCTCAATTCCGCACTGTTTATACTTCTTCGTTGTCGGTACCATTTGTGATTGTTGACCTCAGTTTTAGTGAGGTCTTAAGTCTCCTACTCTTAGAACCTAGGATCTAGATTTAGGAGTTCTTATTGACCATCCTAGCGGACTAGCGATGGAGCCCACCTCCC